GACAAACCAAAAGCGCAACACTGAAACCTACACACCACCATATGCAAAAGAGACAGCCAGTGGGAATTCGCTGTGTGATGCAGGGAGCTCAAACCTAGGGAGGTTGAGGTGGTGATATGTGACCACCTAAAGGGGTGGGATGGGGTGGGAGATGGGAGAGAGGTTCAAGAGGGAGGGAACATATATATACCTATGGCTGATTCATGTTGATGTATGGCAGAAACTAACACAATTTCGTAAACCAATTATCTTCCAATTAAAATAAATAAGTAAATAAGAAAAAAATTAAAAGATGGATTCTTAACCCCTGGACCACCAGGGAAGTCCCTAGTGTTATTTAAATTAATATTTCTCCCTTAGCTATCAAATCATTATCAAGAGTGGGCAAAATATTTTTAAATTTTTTACATTCCCATCAGCAGTGTATGGAATTTCTGGTTGTTTTACATTCTCGTCAATGTTTAACACTGTCAGTCTTTTTTATCTGACCACCTATATAGCACATGGCTTTAGTTTGTATTTCCTAAATCACTATCCTTGGTGAGCATTTAAGCTTGTTTGACATTTGCACATCTTCCTTTGTGAAAGGTCTTTTTTTAAGTCTTTGACCCTTTTTTTATGAGTTGTTTGTAGGAGTGGTATAATATATTCTGAATACACATTTTTTTGTCAGATATGGGCATTGCAAATGTTTTATTTCAGTCAGTTACCTGTTTATTTTTAATAACACCTTTGGTGGGATATTTTTTAAAACTTTATGCATGGAAAATATTTTATTTATTTTTATTCAGAAAATTTTTTAAAATATATTTGACATTTAACACTGGGTCAATTTAAGGTGTATAGCATGCTGATTTTATACATTTCTATATATTTTTCACTAAACTTTCTGTTTTGTATTGGAGTATAGTCAATTAACAATGTTGTGATAGTTTCAGGTGGAGAGCAAGTGACATATTTCTCTATTGTAATATGATTGCCATGGTAGCAATTAGCACCTCTATCATATTACATAACGATCATTTATTTTGAGTGGTGGGAATAATCAAGTTCCAGTCTCTTATCAAGTCTGATGATTATAATGCAATATGGCTGTCTACATATGGACAAAACATCTTCAACAAAGATGAGGCTGGCAGGATGACATCCACTCCATTTTGTCCTTATACATGACCTGAGATCCTGAAGTATGTGCCTTTTTAGAGATCTGAACAATCATCTTAGGGACCCTGTAGCTAGAAAGGCTTCATTAGTTGCATAGTCCAAACTCCTCAGCCAAATGAGGAGACTGAGGTTGGGGGACCAAGGTCACGAAGCAGAGACCACATAGCACGGCTATCAGAAAGCAAATCAAAGTGAGATATTTAAAGACCCGCTAAAGACAAACACAACTGCAACCATGCAAGCCCACATCACGTAATTTCTTTGGAATACACTCATGATAAGATCACATTTCCATTTCCCTCTATGTTTTTCCGACAACAGCTCATGATACAATTTGTACAGCTCCTGGTAACTTTTACTGGGGAAAATTTTGGGGATAAAAAAGGACCATGTTTCAAAGGCACCAGATCTGATAAAGAGGCAGAAATATTTACTCCATTATTTCAAGAGGCAGATTCTTTGTTGCTCAGATACTTCCTGTTTTAAAAATAGCTTTCCACCACTGTTCCAGGACTAGAATGTCCTTTTAAATGAACTTGGCTTTGAAGATGTGATTTCATGTCATTGGAGCAAGTGTGTAGATAACCAATCATCCTTTGGTAAAATGCTGCTCAGACCAGCTACCCTGGCCCCTTGGGTTCCGGTCCGACCATAGCTGGAGCTGGGTCACTGGACCATGAAGGGATTGGGAACCAGTTGCCATGGGTGGGAGCCTGGGGGGGGGGGGAGGGTGCATCAGCCCCTAAATACTCCCAAGCACCAAGGTGGTAAATTGATGATGCTGCAGAATCACGAGCTGCCGCCCATCTGACAGATGTGACTGGTAAAAGGAAGGTGTCAGTCTTGATTTAGGACCATGCCTGCCGGTTATGAGAGAAGGTCCCACAGGTCTTAGCTGTGTGCACTTGACCATGGAAGGATGAAGTGATGTCATCACTGAACTGCTTTAAAGCACGTTTGCAGAGAGAGAGAGAGAAAGAAAGGGGTGGGTGAAGAGAAAGTGGCAAAATCTAGAGAGTGAGGCTAGGTGAAGGGAGTTTATTGTACTCTTCTCACTATTATGTTTGGAGATTTTTCACAACAAAGTTTTTCAAACTGGATAATCTTTGTTTTTCAGGAAAGGGTGTGAATGTTCTCTGCCAAGAAAGAGGCTGAGCAAGAACCCACGGGAGTGTGAGTGGATTGGTGGATTTGAAGCTGGCTATTTACACAGCAGTTTCCCAGATGGTGCAGGGTAAAGAATCTGCCTGCTGATGCAGGAGATGCAGGTTCAATCCCTGGGTGGGGAAGATCCCCTGGAGGAGGGCATGGCAACACGCCCTAGTATTCTTGCTCAGAAAATTCCATGGACAGAGGAGCCTGGCGGGCTACAGTCACAAAGGGTTGGACACAACTAAGCATGCACACACATGCAAATTTAGACATCAGGGGTGTGTGTGTGCGTGTGTGTGTACCTGGGGAAGAAGGAAACAGGGTTTAAAACTGGTTAAGGGGGGTCCCTTAACACCCCACTTACACCAAAGGACAGATCATCCAGACAGAAAAATAAGGAAACACCAGCCTGAAATGACACATTTCAGTTCAGTTCAGTTGTTCTGTTGTGTCCGACTCTTTGTGACCCCATGGACTGAGGCACGCCAGGCTTCCCGGTCCATCATCAACTTGCAGAGTTTACTCAAAATCAGGTCCATCAAGTCGGTGATGCCATCCAGCCATCTCATTCTCTGTCTTCCCTTTCTCCCACCTTCAATCTTTCCCAGCATCAGGGTCTTTTCAAATGAGTCAGTTCTTCCCATCAGGTGGCCAAAGTAATGGAATTTCAGCTTCAACATCAGTCCTTCCAGTGAACACCCAGGACTGATCTCCTTTAATATGGACTGGCTGGATCTCCTTGCAGTCCAAGGGATTCTCAAGCGTCTTCTCCAATACCACAGTTCAAAAGCATCAATTCTTTGGCACTCAGCTTTCCTTATAGTCCAACTCTCACATCCATACATGACTACCGGGAAAACCATAGCTTTGACTAGATGGACCTTTATTGGCAAAGTAATGCCTCTGCTCTTTAATATGCTGTCTAGATTGGTCATAACTTTTCTTCCAAGGAGCAAGTGTCTTCTAATTTCATGGCTGTAGTTACCATCTGCAGTGATTTTGGAGCCCTCCAAAATAAAGGCTGTCACTATTTCCGTTGATTCCCCATCTATTTGCCATGAAGTGATCGGAACAGATGCCATGATCTTAGTTTTCTGAATGTTGGGTTTTAAGCCAACTTTTTCACTCTCCTCTTTCACTTTCATCAAGAGACTCTTCAGTTCTTCTTCACTTTCTGCCATAAGGGTGGTGTCATATGAGGTTATTGATACTTCTCCCGGCAATCTTGATTCCAGCTTGTGCTTCCTCTAGCCCAGCGTTTCTCATGATGTACTCTGCATATAAGTTAAATAAGCAGGGTGACAATATACAGCCTTGACATACTCCTTTCCTGATTTGGAACCAGTCTGTTATTCCATGTCCAGCTCTAACTGTTGCTTCCTAACCTGCATACAGATTTCTCAGGAGTAAGGTCAAGAGGCCTGGTATTCCCATCTCTTTAAGAATTTTACACAGTTTATTGTGATCCACAGAGTCAAAGGCTTGTGGTATAGTCAATAAAGCAGAAGGTGATGTTTTTCTGAAACTCTCTTGCTTTTTTGATGATCCAACAGATGTTGGCAATTTGCTCTCTGGTTCCTCTGCCTTTTCTAAATCCAGCTTGAACATCTGGAAGTTCATGGTTCACACACTGTTGAAGCCTGACTTGGAGAATTTGAGAAATCTGAGAATTTGGAGAATATTACTTTGCTAGTGTGTGAAATGAGTGCAATTGTGCAGTAGTTTGAACATTCTTTGGCATTGCCTTTCTTTGGGATTGGAATGGAAACTGATCCTTTCCAGTCCTGTGGCCATTGCTGAGGCAAAAATAAGGAAACACCAGCCTAAAATGACACATTAGACCAGAGAGATTTACAGGAAGTCACCTACATATGAACAAGTCATTCTGAGAGCATGTTTGTAAGTCTAATTAGTTCAAAGTTAGCCTAGGTACCCAACTAATACAATCAGCTGTACCACACTGTACTGTAGTAGGTTTAGGATATTTTTCACACAAATAGTACATAAAAGACAAACAAAAAAATAAACACTTTTAACCTTACAGTACAGTACCATGGCTGACACACAGGGGCTGGCATTGAGTGAACAGGCAGGAAGAGTCACTGGCTGGAAGAGGGAGAGGAGGTGAGATGATGGAGCTGGAGGATCGTCAGCAACAGGAGTCGGAGGGCAAGCTGCGGTTTCCCCTATGCCTGTGATTTCACTCACTCACGTTGCTGGCACAGATTCTGGCCTTGAAGCAAAGGTACTGGCTTCCCTGGTGGCTCAGGCGGTAAAGAACCTGCCTGCAATGCGGGAGGCACAGGAGACAGAGTTTGAGCCCTGGGTTGGGAAGATCCCTTGGAGAAGGAATGGCAACCCACTCCAGTATCCTTGCCCAGGGAATTCTATGACAGAAGAAGCTGCTGGGCTCCAGTTCATGGGGTCACGAAGAGTTGGAAATTATTGAGTGACTAACACTTTCACCTTCACTACTGTACTCTACACAGTACTGTGAAGTACATAAAGGCACAACCATCTGTAGAGAAGGCACGCACGTGACAATGAACACCAGACTCGTGAACTAACTTACATGACTGGACATGTGAACACACGTTTGCATTTTTTAAAAGTTCACAACTCGAAGTGTCCTAGGTAAGGGACCTTGAGTTTTGAGGAGTGGTCAGCTGTGAGCAAGGGCTTCCTCAGTGGCTCAGAGGTAAAGAATCCGCCTGCAATGCAGGAGCCACAGGAGCTGTGGGTTTGATCCCTGGGTCGGGAGATCCCCTGGAGGAGGGAATGTCACCCCACTCCAGTATTCTTGCCTGGAGAGTCCCATGGACAGAGGAGCCTGGCAGGCTACAGTCCATAGGGTCACAAAGAGTCAGACATGACTGAAGTGACTTAGCACGCATGCACATGGCTCTGAGCACCTCCGGGAGAGGTGGCCCACTCAGATCCCCCACCCCAAAGGATATAATGGGACGAACAGCATGGGTTTTCAGATTTATTCCGATGGTTCTGCGGCAGGAAGAAAAAGCCTTATAAGGATTGCCTCCAGCCATGTTCTAGAAAGTGCTTCTTCTTCTAGAGAGGATTAGGGCCACATCAGAGGTTAGGAAGCCTACCAACCTCCCAGGAGGTACCAGGTCCCAGACCCAGATCACCTTCCACAGACACAAAGCAATCTCTCCCCCTCCAGGACCTCAGGGAGATTTACCAAGGCTTGCACTGTCCTGGTTGATCTCACTGACCTAAATCTATTATTAAACACTAGCTTATGGTTCACTTTCAATCTCACAGAGTACCGCCCTGATACACGATGGTGCGACTGAACACCTGGGTCTGAAAAGCTGTGTTTCCAACACAAACCTCTCAGACTGGCAGCTCGGTGGTAAAGAATCCAATGCCAATGCCACGACTACTGAAGCCTGTGCACCCCAGAGCCTCTTCGCCATAAGAGAAGTCACCGCATTGAGAAGTCCCTGCACCTCGATGAAGAGTAGACCCCCCGCCCCACTCGCTGCAACGAGAGAAAGCCCTTGCAGAAACAAAGACCCAGCACAGTCAAAAAATTAAAAACACCTGTCCCCAGGTGATGAGGGTCAACATCAATGGTAATGAATCCGGTTGATGACATGGACTCAATACGATGTGACAAGAAGGGCGTTTCACCCCAGAGGCCCTCCCCAAACTTGTCACCCCAGAGTAACCATGAGGAAAACATGCACACGTCTCAACAGGAGACCACATACAAGACAGCAGACCACTCTGCACAACCGTCGAGGTCGTCAAAATCAAGGAAAGTCTTGGGCAACTATCTCAGGCCAGAGGCACCTAAGGAGACACAACAACCAAATGTCACGTGAAATACTGGGATAGAGAAAGGGGCATCAGGGCGCAAAACTTACATATGAGCCAGGTGTGTGTGCTCAGTCAGTCGTGTCCAACCTTTGCGACCCCATGGACTGTAGCCCACCAGGCTCCCCGGTCCATGGCATTTCCCAGGCATGAATACTGGAGCGGGCTGCCATGCCCTCCTCCAGGGATCTTCCCGACCCGTGGATCAAACCCGCATCTCTTGTGTCTCCTGGATTGGCAGGCCGATTCTTTACACTAGTGCCACTTAGGAAGCCCCGTGAATTGGGTGTAGACTTTAATTAATAATCATGTCCCAATACTGGGTTCCTTTGTTATAAGTAAGATGTTAAAAAGAAGGGAAGTCATGAGGGGCTTATGGGAACTCTTCCTCTTCTCTTTGTGACTTTTCTGCACATCTAAAACTGGTCTAAAAAATTAAGTTTCCTAAAGTGCAAAAACAAGCAAAGAGATGCCTCTCTCAGAACGATTCCCTGGTTGGGCTAAAGCATCTGGGGTAGGAAGGGGGTTGTCAACAGCTGCCCAAGCTGAGGAAAGAAGGGGAGAAGACAGGGACTGGAGCCTAGAGACCCAGAGCATGTTCTGAAAAGGAACTTATCAAGAAAGGGCTTTTATGGGAATTCCCTGGGGGTTCTGTGGTGAGGACTCCACACCTTCACTGCTGAGGGTGTGGGTTCAATCCCTTGTTGGGGAACTAAGATCCTGCAAGTTGTGAGGTTTGCGGAAAAACAAAAAGAGGGAGAGATAGAGAAGGGCCTTTAGATAGCAGAGGGGCTCGGCCTGTGTGTGCCCTGCCATTTCCAGTAAAGGCTGCTTCTGACGTGGAACAGTCTGGGCCGCGTTAGTCCTGGAAAGCGTGTCTCGCCCCCTTCCTGCCTAGTTTTAAGGTCAGGGTTTCTCTACTCCATTTCTCTGTGCTCAGGCTGCTCAGAGGCACATGTTTGGACCATCTTCACCTGAGAGATGTCGGCCTGGGCCGTCTTGTCTCCCTGGGGACGTGAGAGGCCCAGCAGAAAGCAAACGTGTGACAGCCTCAGCTACTCCGGATGTCATCCCAACAGTGATGTCCATGCTTCTGGAAGGCTCTAGGGGTTTCTTGGGACAGCATGCTGGTGGAAGTCTCTGTGCGCCGATTCTGAGTATGGGTGCCTGCTGAGGAGGCCCGGCCCACTGGCCTTGCTCCTTGCAGACTGGACGGGGCTCCAGTGAACTGTACAGTGGGAATCTCATTTCAAATGGCAGCATGGTGACTGAGGGCCACCTGCCCTGGTTACAGGGCAGGGAGGTCACCACCCACCATTTCAGAAGCACTCTGCAATCGGAGGTACAGGGCAACCTCTGAAAACTTCCCAAACTGGCTTTTTTTCTGTGGCCTCTGCTCAAACACTTAGAAATTTTTTTTCCCCCTTCAGCATGTGGGACCTTAGGTCCTCGACCAGGGATTGAACCCATGCCTCTGCACAGGCAGCATGGAGTCTTAATCCCTTCCCTGCAGTCCATCATGTGTGGACCTTCATGCAACGAAAACAGGTAAGTGGGGGAAAAAAAAAAAGGATTCTTCTGTTTTATATTAAAATATTTTATATTAATCATTCAAACTTAATTTTTATACAATGACTGCATACATCACCGGGGTGTCTGTCTGATAGGGGAGTCAGGGAGGCATCGGCTGGGTGTGCCCAGGTGTGAGCAGCAGGTGAGGGTAAGGAGACAGGCGCTTCCTCTGCTCGCCCCGTGCTTTGCCTGCCAGTTCCAGGAGGGAGGCAGGGGTGTCACAGCGAACAGGTGGGTCCTCGGCCTCTCCCTGGGCCTCCCTCTGCTGGGGTGAACCGTGTCTCCTCTTCCTGGGTGAGGCATCCAGTGCCCGGGGCTCTCTGACCAGCAAGTCCTTGACGTAACAGTGGCTGTGACTTGGGGATCACCAAGAGCGAGTGTGTGTGTATATGTAGGGATTTCCACATCCTCTCCTGCCGCATGCCCGACCCCTGGCCATCCTGCCTCTGGGCACTTGAGAGTGGGGCCGCACCTAGGCAGCAGGCATGTCGGCCTTGCTGAGCGCAATGGCCAGCTCCAGGTCTTCCTGCTCCTGCCGCCGCAGCCGCGCCAGCCTCTCCTGCTCCGCCTTCTCGCTCTCCCGCTTGGCCCATGCCATCTGCTGCTCCTCATTGCCAAACTGCAAAGGAAAAACGGAGGGTGGGTTACACGGTCCCTGAAATGGTGCCTGCCTGCCAGCTGGCTGGGGCAGAGAGGATGTGGAGGTCTGCCATGGGGGGATCGCGGGTGTGGGGAAACGCCAGGCTGGGATGTGTTGGGGGGGTGCCTGGTGTGTGTGGGGGGGTGAAAACCAGGAAAAGCCAGAAGCTGCCTCTTGGTTGGGGATGCAGAGGGGACGCGCATGCCCCAGTCCTGACCCCCAGTCTGGAAGGCGGTTACATGCACTGAGACACGTGGGGCTGAGTCTGACCTTAACCTCCACCTCCACCTCAGAGAGAAACCAGACGCCCCATCCCTGCTGGGAGCTGAAGCAGGCGGAGGCCAGGCATCAGATTAGGAACATTGAGAGACTTCTGGGGACACCCCCCCCCTCCCCGGGCCTGGAGGAGGCTTCACCGGGGGGTGGGGGCGGGGACGGAGAAGCTCTACTGGGCCTCCTGTCGGGCTGTCAGGGGATGGCACGGGTGTCTCGAAGTAGCTGGGGAGCAGAGTCAGCTGAACCCCAAGGAGATGGGACGCCGAACCCGCAGAGCCTGGGCCTCCATGACAGGCCATGATGCCTGGGCGAGAGGCGCTGGGGCTGGAGACTTCACATTCGAATAGATCTCTGAGTCTCCAACGTGTTCAGGGGCCTTGAGGCCAAACAAGATGACAGGGTCCCGAGATGCGGCAGCTCTGTATCAGCCATGGTCCCAGAGGCTCTGGGAGATGCTAAGAGCCACTTTGTACTTGAACATTCACAGGAGCCCTCGGCAATCACGCGGTCATTTGGTCCAGGAGTTTTTCATTCTTGGTGGTGGTGGGAGAGGGGAGGGTGGGGGTCCTTTTCCAAAAGGTGCAACTTAAAAAAAATTTTTTTTAAACAAGGGAAGAAACCGTTTTAATCTCAAGATGATGGTTTAGTCGCTAAGTCGTGTCCAACTCCTGCGACCCCATGGAATGTAGCCTGCCAGGCTCCTCTGTCCATGGGATTCTCCAGGCAAGAATTACTGGAGTGGGTTGCCACTCCCTTCTCCCGAGATGGGTGATTTCAAACCATTCAAGCGATGGACTTCCAGCTCTATGTAAAGGAAAGCCAGACGTCACATGCTCTCCCCCTGGCAGGAGTCCCCAGCCCCAGAGGCCCCACCGCCACCCCCATCACTGTGCTCTGTCTCCAGGTGAGGTGCCTCCGGCACCGCTGACCCCCAGCAGAGCTGCAGCCCGTTTGGGCCCCTAGGCTGCCTAGGTCAGCATCTCTCCTCTATGTGGAGAAGTCAGCTGAACCCCAAGGATCTGGGACAGTGAACCCACGTGCCCCAGAAAGGAGCTAAGATTTTCCCAAGGTCACTCCAGGGACAAGCAAAGTGGGGCAATGGGACTGGCCGTTTGTCAGTGTTTCATGACCTGACCACTAGTCTTGGGGTGATGGGGCCAGACAACGGGGACTGGGCAGGGGAGGGCTGGCCTGGGGGAGCCTGGTTTGGAGCCAGGTGTGGCCCCGAGGAGGGGGAGGAGATGGCACAGCCCAGAAGGCCTCCCTCCCTCCGTCTGGGGAGTCAGGCCGGGGCAGATGAGGGTCAGTGTGAAGGGGAGCCGCCCTCCAGGCACAAAGGTCAAGTCCTGGTCTCTCAGAGAAATGGCCCAGAAAAACACTCGGGGATCAGCTGCGTCTCCAACGTGGTCCCTGGAAAGCCAGTCCCCGCCCCTCGCATTTCCACCGCTGGCCACAGATAACGGCCCTCCCCTCCCCCACCTTTGGGGAATTTTCCAACACCGCTTCAGGAGAAAAACAAGGAAAGAACAACAGATGCTGATGGGAACGACTCCACGGTGCCGCTGACAGCGGTGGGAGGGGGACAGGCAGCTAGGCGGACAGGGGACCTCGCCCTCGCCAGCCCGGAGGAGCAGGCGGGCAGCGGAGGGCCAACGAGAAGCAGGGCCCGCACCTCGGTGGGGCCTGCTCAGCCCGCGAACCTCCTGCTCCAGGAGTCTGTGAGTTCAAAGCAAACGTGCTGACGGGAACATTCTAGATGCCTTCGGGGAGGACTCGTTGGAGGCGCGCTTAGGCTCCAGGTTGCAGACTCACAGCGGGCACGCGGTCGGAGGCAGACTGAAGGCAGCGGCTTCTCTGTGGCTCCCTCCGCGTCTTGAATCAGCAGCGCATCCCCTCTGGGCCCTGGCGGCGGCCCGCGCCCAGGCCACGCCCTGGTCCTCCACCCGGATGCGTCAGGTGCGTCACGCGGGGGCCCTAACACCTGCGCGCACAGGGCTGCTCGGCGAATGGCCAGCTCCGGTTCCTACTTTACTCACGACGGCGAGGAGCCGAGGCGACCCGGCAGGTCGTGAGGACTCTGCCCCCTTGAGACACCTCACACAGCAGGGCCCGATAGACTCTGGGTGGGTTGATTTTGGCGGCCTTTCCGTGGAAATCTGAGGGTCAGAGCCCTCCGCACGTGAAGTAATAGCACCTTTCCTCCACGGGGATGGACAACGTGTGCGCCCCGCCTGCTGTCACCACGCGTGGGGACACTTCTCGCCGCTTCCCGTTAGCTCGCTCATCCTGCTGTTGAAAACGCATCCAACTCGTCTGACGAGGCAAAGCGCAACTTATCCCATCCGATATTTGCTCTTAATGCAGACTTCCGAAAGAAAGCGCTGTTTGGTTCACCTAGAAATACGACTTCTTCATAAAACACATTTGCCTGAGACAGAAAAGGCTCGTTTTAAAAGAAACACCAGAGAGGCTTCCTGTGAGCCTCTACAAGCACAAGAAACCCATTGATGGAGACTCGGGGTCTGTAAATCAGAGGGTTCCAGAGAGGTAGCGCTGGGGCGCCAAGGGGGCGGGGGAGCGGGACTGGGTACTAGCGTGACACTGGCTTCCCTGACCGCCAACACGGACCAGGCTGCCTCGGCATGGGCTCACAACACGTCCTGCCAGCATGCTTAGAACGTCTGATCTTAAGAGTCACGTTGCCAGGCTGCTGGGCACTCTGCGTCTCCCCTAGGAAGCTCAAGTACACAGATTCGAGGAACCAGCTTTGGCCTTCTTTGAGTTGGCACCTATCCCTCAGGTCCAGTGAACAGAGACACCGTCAGGCAATGGACCAAGTCCCTGGGCGCCACGGACATGAAAGACACTCCCCAGAGGTGCGGCAGTTCTGTGCGACGGAGGGGGCAACACAAATCAGCTAGGCGTCCTGCCTTCCCCCACTTCCCCACATCGCAAGCGGCTGAGCCTCCCAGTCAGCTGATTTCCCCCTGGGAAGACTGGGTGTCTGAAGTGCGAAAGGTGATTTTAAACATAAGACAGCAGGGCTGCAGACTGAGTGCAAGTCTTATCAGTCGTGTCCGACTCTGCAACCCCAGGGACTGCAGCCCGCCAGGCTCCTGTGTCCCTGGGGTTCTCCAGGCAGGAATACTGGAGTGGGTGGCCATGCCCTCCTCCAGGGGATCTTCCCGACCCAGGGATCAAACCCAGGTCTCCTGTATTGCAGGCGGTTTCTATACCGCCAGAAAACGGGCAGAACCCAATTCCTTGCCTGGAACTGAGGGTGACTCAACCCCACGGGTGTTTTAAAATAGGAAGTTAACAACTGTGCTGAAATGCCCAGAAATGATGAACTAAATGATAATTTGAAATTTGAGGGGTAAAAAAAAAAAGTGTTCCAAAAACCAGCCATTGGGGGCAGGAGGGGGACTGTAAGAAATAAAACTGTGCATTTCAGAGACAGAACAATCATTTCTTCAAACTGCTGTTCAGAATCCACTTACCCTTCCCCCCTACCCTAAACACAGTACCCGAGTCACACGTGAATAGCTCAGTTTCTTTCCATCAGTGTTTCTTTTTTTTTTTTAACCAAAAAATAGAAGCAGTGCTATTCAAGAAACTGTAGATAAAGCGGATTTTGTTTCTGGCTTTTATTTAACAATATCACCATTTGTATATATCCAGTGTGCACTGGCTGTCAACAAAACCAGGCCAACTGCAGTTGTAAAATATTTACAGGTTGCCAAGAGCCAGGAACGTGTCAGCATCTTGGGCGATTTCAATAAGCCACAGCCTAGCTGTGCATGAGCTGGATCTGACATGAATCAGGCGTGCGCTGGGCACTGGAACGGCAGTGCTTGCTTTAAGACAGACATTCTAGGAGCTGAAGCATCTATAAACAATACACATCACACCTAACGAGGAAACAAGGTACTCTGTCAAACCGAGCAAAGAAAGCCTTCTTAAAAACAATATTAGGAGCGCAACAGACAGGGAAACTGTTTCTGGGAAGACAACGTCTGAAGCTCTCTGAGAACAAGACCTTTGGGTACTCATGAGGGTGCTGAAAGTACACTAACATGAAAGTCTTTTACAGCCTGGAATCTTTTTTTCAAACTGAGACACAGAGCCAGGCTTTCAAAATCCCCGGGTTTCTTCTGAAAAGACATTTCACTCTGCTAAACAGCTTTCTGAGTTTTGGTTTTGTTTTTTTTTTTTCTCTCTGCTCAAGGAAGGGGCTTCAGAGCGGCTGTTCTAGGTTGCATTTCAGTTTTCTCCATAGCTGATAAAAAGTTTTTTTAAAACAAATCAAACTGCTTTCCCTTGGTGTGACCTGCCTGGATCCTTGCTGCCCTAAACTGAGACCGTGAGAACTCTCGCACAGAGACTTTTTTAGGACAGCAGCACCCAGATGTTAACTTTAGCGATCTTGTTTTCGTACTTCAGAAGTGTTTGACGTGGTGGCTTCCCCTCACCTCCCAAAAAAATGAACGAACACAAAAGCCTCTGGGCAACAGAACTACTACAGAGAATCTACCATGAAAGATAAAGAAACAGGCATTCTGGGCCATCCTGCCGGAAGGAAAATGCATCCTCATCACAGAGTATCCAAACCAGTGCTCTCTTTTTCTTTTATTGAGAAACCATTTTTTTCTTACAGCAAGCAGCAGTACAGAATAAATAACACAGGTGATGGCGTGAGGTTCCGGGAGACTTGGGCCAGGAGGAGGTTTGCCATTTGAAAGAGACAAATAATAATAATAATAATAATAAATGATAACCCCAAGGAAGCTGCAAGCGGAGCAGGGGGGAGGAAGGGATGGCACGGAAGGCGGAGAACTCAACTTACAGAGGTGAAGTCTGCAAAGCCCAAAGAGGAGGCTTTAGAAGGTTTAGCTGAAGAGGAGGGAGCAAATGGATCTTTTCCACTAAACGGGTCCCCAAACCCCTTTTTATTTTGGAACGGGTCACTGCTGTCGGCCCCAAGTGGCTGGAATGGATCAGGGGGTTCGGTAAAGTCTGCAGAACCAAGCTGGCTTACGGGTGTACTTTTACCTAGAAAATTTAGGAGAGAAAAAAAAAGGAGAAAAAAAAAGAAGAAGAAATTCAAGTTACTGACCAGGGACAGAACAAGGTTCCTGACTGAGGAGCCGGGTGCCAGCTCCCTGGGAAACTCTATCCTTCCCTTGGAAAGAGCTGGAATGTGGCTTGTGGGAGGGACTCCGGGGGAATCAGCGTGGGTCTCCGCTTTCCTCTCCCTTTATCCCGGAGGCTTAATGGTTTTGTGGGCGGTCCTAGAAAACCACTTCAGATGACCCTTCTCCCCTCCCCATCCACCACAGCTAAAATTTACATCATCTTTAGAAAGCTCACATGCAGGCGTGTTTCAAAGTGATTCATTTTAGCAGGGCAACACATTCACGATCACACTGAGTTTTTACAAAGTCATGGTCGAGCAGAAAAAGATCAATGTAAGAGCCCAACAATTAAAAAAAAAAAAGGGTTGGGGATTACTTGCAACTAAACAGGAAGGATGGGGAATTAGTTTCACAATGTGATGTGGAGTTAGCCATGTTAGTGGTGAGGATCTGTATGCAGCTCACCAGACAAACCCACTCGGCCATCCTGGGTTTAAATTCGTCCTGGGTTGAAATTCATTTCCGGCTCCTGGGTCTGTCCCTTTGGCTTCAAGGGGCAGGCTTTGGGATTTTGTGGGCTCTTGCCGAGAGGGCAGCTCTGAGAGGCCCAGGTCCCAGCAAGGCAGCTCTCCATGAGGACACGGGAGACAGGTGTTTAGAATGGGTGGGAAATGAGGCTGTGAGGCTACACTTGGGGGGTGTGGCCCAAGGACGAGGGGCTTCTCCTGGCAAGTCCTGCCGACATGTCAGAACCATCCATGAGCAACCAGACCCCTCTCCGGGCCTGTTTGGCAAGGGGGGCCCACCAGATGAGCCTCCAGGATCTGCTGGGTTTGGAGGCCAGGTTCCTGCCTGATACCATTCATTTGCCCAACAGCTGCCTGGGTTACTAAGGTACCCAGGGGGTGAGACAGTCAATTCGGGAGCTCTGTGTCCAAGCCCAGGCTACGGCATACTTAACATGATTCTGATCTATTAACTGAGTTGCCCATGTTTTGCTCTTGCAATTCTAAAACTAATGTGCGAGAAGCCAAAAGCCTAGGGCCACACTCCATACAGAACCCTGGACACCAGCTGCACGTCCAGAGGCAGGCCCTGGCCCTGAGTCACGCCTGACCTGTCTGCGGCGCCTCAGCCCAGGGCACCTGCCTTCCCACCCTGCTGGCCTCTGCCACGCCACCTGCCCGCACATCCGTCTCCATGCCCAGCTCCAAGACCATGCTCTCTGATGCTGCTTCCTAGGGCCACAATTCTGAGGGTCCCCAGGGGTCCCTAAGGACTTCTGCCTGTCCCCTTGCATTCTGAGACCCAGACCAGGTCCAGTGCCTCAGGTCCAGCTGGCCTGCTTCTGTCTGGGAAGTGGGCATGAAGGGTCAGGGGTCAGAGCCCGTGACTGATGCCCTACTGCGGGCACAAGCAGGGCTCGGCACACCTGGGGCCTGTGACAACCTGACTTCAGGCCCCTCTGGATACATGAGTTTTTTTGTCACTTGACACAGCAGCTGGGTGGCCCTAAGGTACAAAGGCCGCCCCGACTCTGTCAGTTCATTCCGAACCTCGAGTCACCAGAGGTGTGGTTCTGCCCCCAGGAGAGCCCACGGAGAAGAGACGGGGCGGGGCCCACCAGAAGCGGCGGTGAAAATCCCCAAACACCCTCCCACCTGAGCTGGGACTTCTGGGTGGGCGGGTGACGCCAGTAGTGTGGCTGGGACGCAGAGGCCTCGAGCCACGCCCGCCCCCGAGAGCAGCCGCTGGTTTCTGTCTGTATGTGTAAGGAAACGCTGAGAGTCTTGACTTTCCGAGGCTCGCACAGGGCTCTTGTGACACAGGCAGCTCTGCACCCGGCTCTCCATCACCTCCTGAGGCTGCATCAGAGGACTATGCCCGTGCCCGTGGCCTCATGGGGCCCCCATGCTGACCTCTGACCTTCCCAGGCTCTTACTGTCACAAACAGCACAGCCTCGCCCACATGTGTCTATTTATAGGAGACGTTCCCTGGTGGCTCAGATGGTAAACAAGCTGCCTACGAGGCAAGGGACCCAGGTTCGATCCCTGGATTGGGAAGATCCCCTGCAGAAGGAAATGGCAGCCCACTCCAGTACACCTGCCTGGAGAATCCCATGGACAGAGGAGTCTGGAGGGTTACAACAGTCCATGGGGTTGCAAAGAGCTGGACACGACTGAGCGACTTACACTTTCACACACTTTCTGGAGGTGGGGCTGTGGGTCAGGAGGCGTGCCCACTGCAGCCTGACCTTTCTAGTACCTGCCCCAGGCTCCGACAGGAGACACCCTGACCTAGAAGGGAGGGGAGGGGGAAGGCTGCAGGCTGCAGGCTTGGGGAGGCTGTAGGAGTTTCCCGGTGGCCACAAGTCAGGTCATAGTCAACCACGAGGCTCAGTGGGCCAGGCGAACTTCTCTCTGCCGAAACCCCAGGGTGGGCCCCACCTGCTGGAGCAGGGACACTTCCCCAGGAGGGAGGGGCCCAGCCCACTGCACGGGGCGGTGGGAATTAGGGCCCCTCTTCCCCAGGGCAGCTGGCTTGTTCAAGTGAAGTCCTGGGGGCTGTGCCCACACAGTACCTCCGTACAGGCCAGGTTCTCTCCTTCTGGCCCCTCCTCTCCTATTTGTGACAGAGCCACAGACTTCGGGCGGCTCCCCCTCCAGCACCAAACGCTCCCCCAAGCTGTCCGCCTGGCTGTTGGCTTTGCTCTCCCTCCCAGACCTCAGGCCCCTGGGCTTCAGACAACAGGGAGACCTGATCTGGGTGCCGGCCTGAAGAGCCACCTCCCCCAAGCCCACCTTCCACAGCAGCCTACTCTCTGGCCCAAGGGATAAGCTGACGGCTGAGCGTGGGCCCCCGGGCCGGCACCGCAGGCAGAGGAGAGCCTCTCTTCGGAGGCGAGCAGGCAGCCTGCCCCGCAGCTCGTCAACTCCAGGCGGTAGAGCCAGGAGCAGTGACTGAATGGGAAGCCAGGCAGATCACGGGGGTCCCTGGGCAAGGAGGAGGGTGGGCGTGAGCCCCGGGAGCTCGGGTCCCCACAGTGGCACCACCCCCTGAGGCAAGTGGTCCTCGCCTCTCCCGGGTCCCTGGGAACTGTGCCTGCCACAGCCCCTGGGCAGCGCACTCTCTCAGCTTCCAGCCCCGCGGGCCCCCCACGCTCAGCGAGGAGGCCTTTTAACTCAGAGCTGCGACGACCCTGCTGAGCTCTCTCCAGTGCTTTGGGAGCACCCACCCCAGCCCCGGGCATCCCACCCCGGCCCAGCGCAGTGCCCTGCGCTCACTGCTGCCCAGGCAGGAGCGCCCCTCCCCACGTGGGTGCCGTGCACGCAGAGGCCACCCTCCCCACTTCTGGCTCAGACACCGCTGCAGCCCTCGTCATGCTGTCTTTAGGTCACTCGCCGTGTATTTTCTCTCTTGCCCAAGAGAACACGAGCTCCAGAAGGCAGAGCGCTTGGCTGCCCACAGCTGTGTCCCGGCTTCACAGACCGCTCTGCTGACAGAGCTTTCTAACATGCAAGCTCCACCGTGGTGAGCTCAGAAAGCCCCCACAAAACCCTTCCCCACCTCGTCCCGAGCCATACATCACTCCCCCAGGACCCCAGCCCCAGGGCTTCTCTCCAGACAGTCCCTCTGCCTTAAGTGCCTGGGGCCCACCATCTCCCCAGGCCTGTGTTCAGCCGTCCTGGCCCAGCCCTGGGCAGGGAGTGGGCTGTGGACCCCTGGAAGATGGGGAGGAACCTGGCAACCACCCCCTCCAGCCTCAGCTTCCTTTTCCATGAAATGGGGTTGTGATGGGATGAACTGATCCCCCACCCCCAATTCATTATGCTCAGGTCCTCTCCCCCAGTACCTGAGGATGTGGCTGTCTTTGCACATGGGATCTTTGCAGAGGTAATCAAGTTAGAGTGAGGTCCTCTGAGTGGGCCCTAATCCAACAGGACTGGTGATCTTGGGAGAAAAGAGGATAGCAGGACACACAAATGCACAGAGGGGAGACCGTGGGAAGGCACAGGGTGGGCACCGTCTACAAGCCAACCAGAGCAGCCTCAGAAGAAACCAGCCCAGACCACACCTTGATCTCAGACTCCCAGCCTCCACAGCTGTGGACGGTCCATTTCGGCCATCTCAGCTGCCCAGGCTGCGGTATGGTGGCCCTAGGATACTCAGGCGGGGTAAAAGAGCGTCTGCGCACCACCACCGCCAGAGCTGGGGTCAGCCCCCGAGGGGGCTGTCTGCTTTTGTAAATCACCTTTTACTAGTCTGCCAACGCCAGGCTGGCATAGCTCCAATACCCAGAGGTCAGGACAGCTCCACCCCACCATGAGCTCCACGAGGAAACTGAGAACCCTGCCTGCGGAGTTGCTCAGATACCCCCCTGTGCAGTGCTGCTGGGTGGGTGGGTGTGTGCAGCCCCCGGGCAGGGGTGGCCTCCGCTTGAACTGCCGAGTTCCCTGCACTGGCCCCCACCTGTCAGGCTCCCTCAAACACTCCATGCAACCTCCCCCTGCCACGGTGGAGCAGCGCCACAGCCCAGGCGTGCCCCCCTAGAGAAGAGCCCCCCCCCCCGGCAGGGTACACCCTGACGCAGACCTTGCCTCGCTTTCCAAACCCCAAGGGGTGGCGTCACCAAAGGCTGACTGTGAATACAGACAGGATCCTGAGTGAACCCTGTGCCGGGTGCCCCTGGGACACCTGCAGCCTTCTCCGGGCCCCGAGGGACGGGCCCTCAGCTGCCAACCGAGCCAGTGCACGCGCCTCTGCCGGGGCGCCCAGGGGGATGGCCTCCTAAGGCACGGGCACGCTGGCCTCGGCGGGCACGGTCCCTGCAGCCCGGCCACCGCGGTCTCCCTCCCACAGGTACCGCCACCAGGCAGACCCCCGTGCCGTCCAGCATGGCAAATGTCCACGCACGC